GATGAGGGCAAACATGTTCTGGAATGTTTCTAAAGGACTCCTGGGGTCCCATATACTCGCAGAACTTTCTTCTGCTTGCTGTATCCTAGGCAGAATTTCATTACTTCTCTATGGGTTGGACCAGATACCAGAGCCTCCTTGTTGGAGAAGTATTCCTTGCCGAATGAGGCTTGGATTTGTCAGGGCTCTTGAAGGGTTGACATCAAACATGGAATCTAACCAGACAGTTTGAAAAACTTTTTAAATGAGCAGATCCTTTGCTGCTACAGACCTCTCAAACTTCCTCTTCCCTCGATACCTTGCCCTTATTATCAGAAATTAACCATTGTCCTTCTGTTTTATTGTGGACCTCATTACCTGACATCCTTCCTTTATATGCTTCAGCTTGCTTTTTGAATTTATGTAGCCTTTGCCTTAAATCTGATGCCTGGGGGCCTAGGGAACTCTGGTCCTGTCATACCATTTTTTTTTTCTTCAGAGAAAGCATAACCACTGACAAATCTCCAAAGTATGTTCATCTTCCTCACGAGACTGACTACTATCTAGGAACAGATAGCAAAATAGATAAAAGACAGTTGTGGTTTTAGATGTGTTGGGTTGAAGGCAATAGGTCAGGCACAAATATAAATGGCATCCAGGTAGTTGAAGAAGTGATACCAAATGTTGGCGTAAAAAACAGAACTAGAGACTTGGTAATATTTGAATTGAAGGGGACATTGTATCCCTTGGAGTATGGTAGATGAAAAGAAGGAGGAATGGGCGCCCTAAGCCTTAAGGGAGGACTTGATTATTAGCATTTTCTAAAGCTAATTATATATTTAGCATTTAAATAGTTCTTGAAAACAAATGAACTATTCATTGACTATTATTGTCTCTAATGATTCGATTTACAACATTGGACGCTTTTCTCTTTCTCCATAACTGTATATCTTATTCTGTTTATTTCCTGATTGTGGGTAGAGGTATGGAGAGAATGAGACACTAAAATAATTAGGATAAAAAGTTAGTGATTAGAGGGACAGGAAATGATGTAGCAGTAATGCCACTGTACTTACTTGAGAAAGGTCCTGGGTTTGAGTCCTGGGACCTCTTTGAGCCTGCCAGGTGTGCTGAGTCCCCATTGTAGAGCCTGGATGAGACTGGGGGTCGATTTTGGTGTGACCACTGTGTTGGGGGTGTCTGTCTCTGTCTCTGTCTCTTTTTGTCTAAGAAATAAGTGAACAAACTTGCTACAAAGTTTAATTAGAATGAAAAGCGGAAATAACTTATTTTATATTTATCATTTCTATTCTCAGTGCTCTAAAACTGATGAGGAATGTGAGAACAATCTGTGAAATGTCCACTCTTAAAATAGTATTTATATTTTGATCTGTAAACTATGAATGTGGAAATAGGCGGATCTTGCACATGTGTTGTAAGATACTGGTATAAACAAAAATTTTTGTCATCAGTGTCCTTAAAGCCAACACTGCGGGCGTGCTCCAAACCAGGGTGTTAGTTGATACTGAAATTCTGAATACTTCATAAAAATTTCCATGATAGATCTCTTTTGCTTTTACTTGCTCAAGACTTTCTTCTGCTGCTAACCATTTCACTGAAAAAAAATCTTTTAAAAACATTAAGTATTATTTTATTCATCATCATTATTATTCTTATTATAATTTTAAATTTGACCAGAGAGAGAGCGAGAAAGTGAGGAAGCAAGTCGGCAGGTCCAGGACTCAAACTGCTGTTGGCCATGTGAGAATCCAGCCCCTTAACCACCATGCCACCTTCTGGCCCTTGGAAAATATTTTAGAGATAAAGTTTTTGAAAATTAAAGACTGAATAATGGCAAACTATTTCAAGGTATATAGTCTAGTTTTGGCAGTATATATATATATTACTTAGCAAAAAGTTTGTTATGAAAATGTACATGACCTGATTTTTACATCATGGTAAAAATGGGCCTGTTGACAAGGGGACATGAGCTTTTCTGTTGAATAGCCATTTACACTCATTCCAAGGCTTCTAACATGGTGATACTACTTCCTCGTATTACCACCATTCCAGTATTGTTCTGTTGCCCACTAGTTGCCATCCCCACACACTCATCTATCACAAGATTCATAAATGGATTAAATCCCTGCAATGTTCCTTGGACATGTCTGCCACCATTTAATTTCAATGATAACTTCTTGTCCATAAATTCTTTTTTTTTTCCAATTTGGGAGGGTGAGCTTTGCTCATGGTACCAACTTGGCGGGCTCAGAGATGCCTTTGAACAGAATTCTTGGCCTCTTCACGTTCCCACGGCAGGCCTGGCGCCAGCAGTATATTTTGAGATTGGGTTAAAACTTACTTTATTTTCATTCTTATTTTTTGTTTTGTTTTGTTTTGTTTTGTTTTTACTATTATGAGGAAAATGTGCTACCTGGAGAGAGAGAAAAAAAAAAAAAAAAAAGAGAAAGTGAGCAATATAGCCCCCCCATCCAGGAAGAATGGTTATGCCACAATCCCTTTTCTATTCTCCTCTCAGGATTTTGGCCAAGTATGCATACACGCCCAGCATAATTTTCAGGTTGCTGGGTCTGGGCACAAACCGTGCAGTCAACCATGGAGGATCCAACCGCTTTAACCTCCACACCACCTGCTGGCCCCACAATATTATTTTTAAGATAATATATATGGTTAGTTTGTTTTTGATTTGGGGGGATGAGGAGCAGATTATTTTAAGCCAAAAAGTAAACTAATAGTCAGCTGCAGTAGCACAGCAGTTAGGCAATACTCCACGTGCTGAGGCTGTATGGGAAGGTCCTCTATTCACGTCTCG